TTCTTTAGAATATGGCGTGCGGCAATAATTGAATTTAAATTAATCGAAAGCTATTTATACAGGATGTCACATATTTAAAATAACATTTTTAACTGGACTTTTAAAATGTTACACTATTAAGCATTTTGTTAACCATTTCAACATAGTTTTGAGCTGTATGTTTGCCTAGAAAATGTTCTACAACTGCAACAAATGATGTCTAAGCTTCTCGTTCAACTTGATTCATTGAATTTATGAAGGCAGGATCCTTAATTATTTGTCTTATTTGTGGGCCGTCAAATATCCCTGCTTTAAGTTTTTCTGTGCTCAACTGATGCATTTTTACCCCTATATATGCAAAACATGACCCATTCTTATCAAGAGCCTTTACAAATTGCTTCATTAAGCTCAACTTTATATGTAACGGAGGAAGTATGATTTTTTCTCTTTCAACCAAAGCGTCGTTAATGACATTCTTTTCCCCAACGTCCATGTTTTCTTTTTGAGGCCAATCTTTTCTAACCCTGTAGTGTGTTTTGTCCCTACTTCAAATTTATTTAGGTAATTGTCTAATTCATTACAAATAATTAAAACCCCAAATATTCTAGGTAATTTTGGAATTAGGTAGGTGATTGTGAGAAATTATCTAATAATATTTTAAATTACCTGTCATATTTTATTATCATTTCCTGTAGAAGTCATTAATTTTGTCGGTGCATATCCTGCCTCCATTTTTCATTTTTCTAGTATCCCTTCATGGAACATGTGTTTTTGAAGATCTTTTTATAAGGATATAAGGTACTAGAAACGAAAAGACTAATTGAAAATTTATTTAGTATTGCTATTTGTTGATATACTTAATCTCGCAAGATGATTTTATTTTTAATCAAGCAAAAACTTCTAAAAAGGCCACATTTCAACTCAGGTACAGTAATTTCTCAATTATCACTTATTTGTCCTTCCTTAATATAAGATTATATATATATGAAGTAGTATTTTGTATTTTAGGCCTTTCTTTTCTCGCTATCGTAATCATAGATAGTTTAATTTTTTTCTTGTTCAATTAATTTGCATTGGAACATTTACGTGTAATTCTGGACATCACATTAATTTGAGGACAGCTGTATTTGGGAACTTACTGCTGGATAGTAGTAAACCATTAAGACACCATTTTCGTCCCTTACTTACTGGAGTTACCTACAAATGAACAAAAGGACAATATTTTAATTGGAGGTTAAGATAAGTGGACCTATTCATACCTTTGAATCCAATAGGCTGTTTTGTTAAGTAACCCTTCCAAAGAGGTCTTTGAATTCAACCCTTGCCTATGTAGGATAGTGTCAATTTCCAAGGTAGGAATTTTACTGATTATACCAGCCCAAGTCTCTCAGATAGAAGGTGTTATCACACAAAATATCTCCACCTTCAGTGTTTGGGAATATTCTGAAAATTGTATATATTAAATAAACAGTTTAACCTTTTAGTTTGTACATATTAAAATCATTTATTTTGTAAGCCACCCAAGATAGAGATCTATTTTAACCGGTACGTAAGCTGTATATATATATTAAATTCAAAGGACTTACCTATACAACCGAATTATAGCTAGATATTGAATAAAACCTCAAGAATATCCTTTTAGTATCTAATAAACACGTTTTAATTATATACCATAACCCTTAATATTATTCTTCTTTTTCATTTGCGGTGTCCATCAGATAATTTACCCAGGTAAATAATCGATTGTGTCTCGGTACAATCGCCAAACGGTCTTAACCAAATCAGTCATTCAGCCAATTTCGAGGATAAAAGGAAAAATTACCTACGACCCTCTCTATGACTGAGCAGTGAGAATTAATTTCCCCATTTATTGTTTTGCTTTAGCAAGTCGTTTAAACAATCAGGATATTTATTAATATATCGTGAGTTTACTGTCAAAAGTGACCAAGTAAAATTTTATAAGATTTGAATTATTATGACCAAATGTCTTGGTAAAATCAGATCTTCCAAATAAAAAAATGGCCAAGTCATATTATTTGAGTTTATTTAGTACTTTTAGGCAGTGTAAATATGACTTGGGTGACATTTTTTGTACATCTGACTCGGTCATATTAACTCAAATCACATAAAATTTCACTTGGTCACGATATATGTACTATTTTTAAAATTGATCTTTATTTTTAAGTTTTTGCCACTGTCTAAAATTTTTACATTTTGTTACTCAAATTCATGCCCTGCTTCTATTTTGTGTTTTCCAAGTGCAGTTAAATTATTTTAAATATTTTAATTGGTACGTATTCTATTTTCTGGTAACTGTATTTGTAAATGGTGTGCGTTTTTTATTAGATGGGATTTATTTTTTACACTGTTAATAGTTTTTATAACCTATCTGTACGTAATTATTATCTGTTGATTTAGATTAACCACCGGAAATATTTCATGGAACAAAAAGAACTTCTATTATCTATTTTATCGGATCTAATTTTCGGTGTCATCAGTGGAACTACCAAAATTAAACAAGGAATTGATGATATTAAAGAAGTCGCTACGAAAATAGCCAAAACAATTGGATTGGTTGATAAATTGGATGATGAAGACGATGCGAAAGAGAGGGCGGATGAATTTTATCCAAATAAACATCTATACCATACTGCAGATCATTATGGCTTTCTTTATTGATTGATTGAATAAATGATTGATTTTAATATTGTTCAGTTTGAGTTTAAATATTGGTGCATGACAAAAATAATGTAATACCCAATTGTATTGATAAAAATTTGATTTAGGACGGTTTTAAGACTATTTTTTACAGTTACCTTTATTCTATATAAAAATAGGAATAAAAAAACATTGATTTCTATGTCTCCAGTAAGATGACAACCTAATTTTAATTAATTAAGAGGATTTGAACAGAGTAAGATTATAAGGCTGTGGGAAGCTGGCAATATGATTGGTATAAATGCAATAAAGTATCACACAAAAAAGAAAAAAAAACTTAAATGTCTTAAATATCACAAAAAACTTAGAGCTAAAGCTAACTCAGCTGATTTTTAAACCTAAACCGACTAACTCCCAAAAGATCAGTGTGTCTGTTACTTTCATTTCCTTGCTTTTGAAATCTGGTTTAAGGACTGTTGAGTCCGTAGTTCGTATGATGGAAGCTAATTGAAAATAATGATTTCTCTCTAATATTTATGTTGTTTAATCTAAAGTTTATTAGCTGCAACATATCCGAACAAGCTATATTCCCTTCCAGGAGATTATAAAGAAATAAAAGATCATTACTAATTAACGTTTTCTCAACTAACAATAAGTTTAAATGGTTATTGAGCTCCCTCTTGGAAAAATAAGGCATATGTAACCTTCACTGACAAGTTCTTAGTAACCTATCTTGAATTGCTTTTAAATTTAAAATATGAGTCCGGTAATGTGGTGACCAGACTGGTGAAGCATATAAGAGGATGCTGCGCACTAGTGTTAAGTAAAGGGTTCGGAATGTAGGCACAGAGAATTCCCTAGAATTCCTGGTCACAAATCCCAATGTTTTCAGAGCTCTACTAATAATGGATCTCATGTGTGGGACAAATGTCAAAGAACTATCGAAGATCACACCTAGATCCTTGATTTCACTAACTTTATTCAAAACGGTAGTATTGATATTATAAAGAAAAGGACCCCGTAATAATCTTATGGAAATTGCTGTTGTTCAATCAAAATGTTTTTGCAATGCCATGACAAAGGTTTATATAAGGTACACCGGGGGAAGTGAAACCTATATTTTTTTAAATCGGAAAATGATCGGCGGGTACATCCAAATTTTAGGGGATATTTTGTAAAGGTGTTTGCTGTGTGTACATACATTTTGCCTAAATTCTGAAATGCGCTAAAAATATACGTCTTTAGGTTCCACTTGCCCTGTTGCTTGGGGCAAGTGTAAATGTGTGCAAGAAATACTTTCGGGTAGGCTGAAATAAGTGTGGGGCATGTAGAAACAAATTTCAATTCATTCTAATTTATTGAAAAAAATTACATTTCACAAAGATTTTGTCTAACAAATGTTATATGTAGTAAAAGATATGTCAAATTGAAACTTTTCATGTTTGTCGAAGGTCGGTGTGGGTAGATGAAGGTGCACTTCATCTAAAGTAATAATGGACCTGTCTTCAACATCCGGTCAATGAAAATAATTTGTGGTTCCAACTTTTCTTGCAAATTTGACTTCGATACAAGGATTTGCTTCCGTTACTTGGGCTACATAAAATTTAAAGAGTTTTCTTTGACAAAACTTCACTATTAGCCAATCCCCGATTTCAACTTGCTTCGTATCTTCCGTAATCGCAGTCATAAAATCATTTTCTTCCTCAACTTCTCTTGCTTCGTCTTCTATATTGTAATCGATTAAACTATCGTCGCTTAGTTCTGCGGCCTCTGCTTCACCATTTAGTTCTTCTTCTGGTTAATCAATAGGTTGTGTATCTTCTCGTATCATCTCAACTTCTTTGCTCTTCGGTTTTTTCATTTTTAATTGTTTTGTCTGCTGTTTGTCATTAATTTCTTTTAATTTTGCAACTGCTTCTAAAGATGTTATAACCTCAGCCCCTGAACATATTTACATAAGTACAATCGTGTACATTTAAAATTCGTAATAAAAAAAAACAAAACCAACCTATAACTTAACACAAATAAATCAAAAATGATTTTTAATAAAATTTAAAACTCTTTATTCCTGTTTCTTATTTATATGCTGTTCCTTTGTAAAATTATAATTTGTAATTATAAACAAACAAAAATGAATAAATAACTAAATAAATATAAATCACAAATTTTAGATTTCAATCAAATATAAAATTTTGAATTTCCCTTCATGGTTTCATTGTTTATCTTTCTTATACCTAAAGCGATAATATATACAAATCCTGCTACCTTAAATAATTTGTATACTAAACATGAAAAAAGACACATTTAATTTCACATTTAATTGTCTAATAAACTTTTTTTTACATTTATTCTTTATTTAACAGGCCTCTGGTATACTACAAAATAATAACTACGCCTCAGATGGACAAGAAGTATTCGAAATTGGATATCAAAATGGAAAATTTCGTCTAAACGTCTTAGGTAACGTATATGAAGTGGATAACCCGCTCAACTTCGTATTTGGTGGTAACAAAGATGTAACTGAAAACAACGATATTAATCCAAAAACAAAACATGAACACGGCATCAAAAATCGAAAAAAGTTTGATGCTATTGGAGATAAAAAAGTTTCACGTAAAAATAAATCAAAAACTACAACTCCTTTTGGAAACCTTTATCAAAAACTTTTTAATTTATTGGGTTTAAATAAATTATTTTCTTCTAATGAGTCTTTATCTAATAATTGTACATTAAATTCAACAAAAAATAATGCTCGTCAAAGAGAATCCTTAATAAATAACGTTTTTATTTCTGGTAATAATCACAAAAATGGTACAGAACCAAGCTTCAACATTACTCAAGATGTCAACATTAATTCCTATCAAGTCAACAATCATCATTATAATGTATCACCAAAACCAGATGAAGATGTTGATATTACAAACAATGAAATCATAGCTGATAGCACAAATGATGTACTTGAGCCGAGTGTGGCAACTGAAGATGATTTAAACGAAAATAAGGCTTTAGTTGAAGAGGGTTCTGATAATACTAGTCAGAAAAATTCAGGAGAAAAAAATGTACGAAATTTCAACATAACTAAATCATTTATCAATGAAGAAAGTTCATCTAAAAAACATGTTTCGCGTCCCAATTCCGAAAAACGTTCTAAAGGTAATAGTAAGTATAAAACACCAAGAAATATGGAAGATGAAATGGAAGCAACATCTATAAAGCCTAGTCATCATTTAAATAAAAATAAAATAAATTAATCACAAGAGTTAGACGAAAATAAAAATAATGTTATAAACTAAAGTAGATGGGAAATGGCAGTGCGTAATGAGCAGGTCATTGAACTTTTATACCTGTACCATTATGCAAATTTAGCAGGTGTTTTTTTACATAATAAACATTTCATGCGTGTTCATATGCATAATACGTTTTACTAGGTGAAGTCAATGTGGGTAAGTAATAGAATAAAAGTCAATTCCGGAATTCCACAGGGCTTAATTTTGGGACCAGTGATAATAAAGAATTCATAAATTCTAAATCGTAACGAATTTAATTACTTTCACAGATGACATTTCGTTGATATTATCGAAAACCAGTAACAGATAAATTACCATTAAATGAATTTATATCTTAGAACATTTGAACTATTACAGGAATCGACCTTTAAATATTTGAGACATGAGTCTTTGTTTCTCAAAACGTATATTGTTTCATTTGGTTCTATAATAATTTTTTAACTTCAATTATGCACGTAAAGCAAATCCTGTTGTATATTTTTCACACCCGCTGACTTCTTAGTCTGAAATTTAGTATATTAACAAATTTTAGCAGATGTTTATATACGAAAGAAATAAAGATAGACTACAATGTCAATAACCTTTCTGGATGCAGATGTAGTGGATCAAAAACCTCTCCACATGTAATAGGGTTTAATGATCTTCTCATGATGTATCGCCATTTCCTATCTACTAATGGTTTATTATATGAAACCATGAAAATCAAATAATTTTGTATTAAAAATTCATAAAATTTTGATAAATGTTTTAAAATTAAAGGATATGTCATGCATTAAATGTATTTTGGGAACCTATAAAATTATTAAGTTTTATTTATATATATTAGCTTGGATATTTTACTTGATACTTGTCTATTATTTCTTAGTTATATGGTAAATAAAAAACGATTGTTTAAAACTACTACAAACAAAAAGTATTTAGATATTATTTAAAATATTTTTGAAAAATTAGGCCATATGTTGAAAATTAGTTATTTGAAAATTTTTGATTAACTTTTAAATTTAAATAATTGACATTTTAGTTAACACTTAGCTATTTAAAAAATGTTTAATATTCATGATCTCTAAACTATTTTTGTATACATTTCAAAAATTTCACTATTAATAAATGATTTTATTTATAGGTGAACAAGTTATGCATTTGCATTTGAAAAATATTAGTTAAAAATACAAATAAGTTACATACTTTATAAAATCGCTCATTAATGACCTCTAATAGTGAATGATTTTAATATTAATAAACGATTTTATTTATAGGTGATAAAGTTACACCTCTATCAAACTTAAAATTTAAAAAATCTCAATAAAAAAACACAAATAAGTTCTATAGCTTGCAAAATCGTTCATTAATGACATCTATTAATAAAAGATTATACTATTAATAAACGATTTAAGTACAGATATGTTATATACCATTGTTAAACTAATAATTTACAAAATAACTGTTATAAAATGTCAAATCATTGGAAATCAGATGTTCATCAATTTATTAATAATATAATAAACATAAAATTTATGTAACTAACTAGTGTATTATAAATGGCGATTATTAATCTCGACAGTTAAAGATTTTTCTAATTAATCGTTTTTATTAATGCATCTAGTTATCTATTAATAAAATTAAAATACTGTATTTTTGAAAATAAATGATTATTAATACATTTGTTTTATTTATTTTTGAAGGGTATTCAACTGTAACATCAAACTGATTTATTATTGATAACACTTTATTGTTGAACAATGAGTTCTTTAAATTATTAACAAAAAAACAATTGGTAGTCATAAAAAATTTATGATAAAAAATCGTTTCCCCATAATTTCATTTTTAACAATAAATAATAGGTAACTGTATTAAAGAAATTGAATTTATAAAAACCAAAATTGTTTAAGCATTATGTGGTACAGGATAATGTATGGATTAAACCTAAAATCAATTCGTCTCTTACACCAGAGATGATTACAGTAGCGTGCATCAGTAATCTTATAATACGGTTTGCATTACATTAATTGAAGCATCTACTGTAATATTTTATTAATTACTTGTTTTTTTATTATAGTGCTTTAATAAAATATAAAAAAAATCTTTATTAACAATAATCTCTCATTTTCATTTTTTAAAATCAAAATGTCTAGCTGCGGTATTGTTGAATTAGTATTAGAGACTCTTACACAAATGTATAGTATATGCCTTTACAGATACTGTCCCCATATGGATGAAGAGGAAGAAATACTTCTTCGGCATCAACTTTGATCTCCCTGTATGTAAATACATTACCTACCTCCATTTCTAGTATAACATCTTTAATATCATCGACAATAAAAGTATGAGTGAACTTTTCTGAACCATATGGACGAAGAGGAAGAAATACTTCTTCGGCATCAACTTTGATCTCCCTGTATGTAAATACATTACCTTCCTCCATTCCTAGTATAACATCTTCTTTAATATCATCGACAGTATGAGTGAACTTTTCTGAACCAATTCCTAATTAAACCTGGATTTCCCCATGGATATTACCACTATCACCTGTGGCAGTCCGCAGTCGCAACCTTGCTGGTAGTACGACTTCTCTTGTAAATATGGTTGACGATACCTTGGAATCACGGTGCAATTGTGCTTGGAAAAGTTACATTTGTATCAGAAGTGGAAACTGTCTTTAGGTAAAAATGGCTAAAAAAACTGTGTTATAAAAAAGTAGCTGAAGTTCGTTAAGAATTAGAAGAACGTAAATTGGAGATGACAGAAAAGAAAGCAGTGCTGGTAGAGGGGGCTAAAAGAAGCAATAGAAAGTGATGATCTGCGGATGATAAGTCTCCTACTAGAGTAAAATCTCTTCTTTGAATAATGGAATCTCTTTTCTTCTTATATGAGTTCTATGAAAAGTAAAATTACTACTGATCAATGTTTTTTCTGATTTTTCTTCCTCATGAATTAAAATTTCTTCTAACATTGCTTCCTTAAAAAGTAAAGTTTCTTCTAACATTTCTTTATAGATAATAAAGTTTCGTCTAATATTTCTTTCCTTAAAGAAAAGGTGTCTTCTGAAATGTATTCTATAAGAATTGTAGTATCCACTGATATCTTTCCTATGAAGTAATGTCTTTCGTATATAAAAAAATGGAAAATAGAGGAAATAGAGAAAACAGAACTGGTCAAGGAATGTAAAACAAAATGCCATGAGGTGGAGTCAAAGTCCAAATTGGAAGGAATTGTAAGCTCTTCTCATGTTATAGCCCTAACTTTCGATGGAAAGATGTCATGGACCAATTACCTGAAACAGAACAAATGAATGATCTGAAACAATAAAGGTAGTGAATCTAATTATCGCCTTTTGATGAGATGCTTTAGATGTTGTTTAGATTATACCTGAGAAAGAGACAGAATCCTTTTGGTCAACTTAAAAAGAGATTTAACATGCGATATGGTCACGAACACTGGAGCATTGGTATCAAATACAGTTAAAGAATAGCAAACAGAAACGAAATGAGAGTCTTCAAAAATATGAAGTCGATATTGACAGTTTGGTAGGCTTTGCCTACTCATTAGTTTCAGAAAATATGATGGAATCTAGTTCGGTTGTCCAAACAGTTGTTGATGGACTACGTGTTCATGATGTAAAAAAAACATCCCATCGATTCAGTCACAAGACATTGGTTGATTCTTTTGGTGGATAGAGTGAAGTAAAGTTTATAAAAGAAGAAGAACAAGTAAAGAAGAAGATGAAAATAACTCTACCAATTGGTTAACGTGGTGAAGAGTATTATTATTAAAAAGATAAAAGGTTAGGTAAGGTAAATTGTTTTCAATAGAAGCAAATAAATAGAGTCATAGTTTTTTTTAATGCAATTTATAACATTTTGATTACATTGTTTTTTTTTTTTTTTTTTTTTTTTTTTTTTTTTTTTTTTTTTTTTTTTTTTTTGAAAAACAAAATAATACTTCTTATGTTTATAAAACTTTTTAGGAGACAATGTATAATATCGGTAATTGAAGAACACAGTGTTTTAAAAAGTAATATACACATGAGTAAAATGTTCAAAGGAGAAACCATTGGACACAATTCAGTGTTCTAAAAAAAATATCTCAAAAATTAATTGTTGAAAAAAAAAGTGTTAATGAAAAAAAAGTTGATTAGTAAATTTCAAGATAAAAAAAATATGATTTTCTATGATTTTCTTTGATTTTCTTTGATTTTCTTTGATTTTCTTTGATTTTCTTTGATTTTCTTTGATTTTCAATTATTTTCAATGATTTTCAATGATTTTCAATGATTTTCAATGATTTTCAATGATTTTCAATGATTTTCAATGATTTTCAATGATTTTCAATGATTTTCAATGATTTTCAATGATTTTCAATGATTTTCAATGATTTTCAATGATTTTCTATGATATTCTATAATTTTCTATGATTTTCTATGATTTTCTTTGATTTCCTATGATTTCCTATGATTTTCTATGATATTCTATGATATTCTATGATATTCTATGATTTTCTATGATTTTCTATGATTTTCTATGATTTTCTATGATTTTCTATGATTTTCTATGATTTTCTATGATTTTCTATGATTTTCTATGATTTTCTATGATTTTCTATGATTTTCTATGATTTTCTATGATTTTCTATGATTTTCTATGATTTTCTATGATTTTCTATTATTTTCTATGATTTTCTATAATTTTCTATGATTTTCTATGATTTTCTATGATTTTCTATGATTTTATATGATTTTCTATGATTTTCTATGATTTTCTATGATTTTCTATGAT